GACTTGAATCTGATGATTAGTAACTTTGAGCATGTTTTTATATGTCTCTTGGCTTTCTGTATGTCCTTTTTCATAAGGAGTCTATTTAGGTCCTTTGCCCATTCTTTGATTGGGTCATTTATTTTCCTTTTGTTAAATTGTATGAGTTCCCTATAAATTTTGTAGATTAAACCTTTATCGGATATAACATTGGCAAATATGTTCTCCCATGCAGTGGGCTTTCCTGTTTTGTTGATGGTTTCTTTTGCTGTGCAAAAGTTTTTTATTTTTTTATTTTGATGTAGTCCCATTTGTTTATTTTCTCTTTACAGCTAGGACTATTATTCGTTTTTTTATTTTTTATTTTAGGTAGAGAGTTTATTACTAAAACAGGTTCTCTAAGCTTCTTCCATTGGCTTTACTACTCTTTTACTAAATGTACAATAAAAACGTGATTTCTCCAGTTTGGAAGGTTTCAGGGTTTTGTGGAGTACTTCCCAGAGAGCTGAGGCATGTTGCCTCTGTTCACTTGGGCTCCTGCTTAGACTTAGACAGTGAGCTTTGGCATTGTCTCCTGTTCTGTTGAATTGCTCATGAGCTGAGAGAATATTATTATTAATTGAGGTAATGAGGTTTCATTGAGTCTAAAAGTGAGAATGGAATTAACTTTGGAATAGTTTTTGAGGTACTTTTTAAAAAAATTATTTACTGCATCCACGTCTTTCACATAAATTTTATAGATCCTTGTATTAATTTTCTTTTGCTGCTATTACCAATTACCTTATATATTATGGCTTATTATCGTGCAGTTGTGTAGGTCAGAAAGCTAACATGGATTTCACTAGGCTAAGATCAGGTGTCATCAGGGCTTCATTCTGTTCTCGAGGCTCTGTGGAAGCATTTGCTTCCTTCCCATTCCCAGTGTGGAGAGGCCACCTACATTCCTTGGGTCCTTACCCCAGGTTCTCCACCTCAAAGCCAGGAATGGCAAATTGATTCTCTTTTCATGCTGGAAAATTGATTCTCTTATCTCTTACCATCTCCGTCAGATGCAGGTGGGAAAAGGGAAAGTTTCTCTGCTTTTAAGGATTCGGTATGATTAGATTGAGCCCACCTGGATAATTCAGGATACTCTCCTATTTTCAGATCTTTAACCTTAATCACATCTTTAAAGTCCTTTTTGCATGTAGAGATGGACATTTTTGGGAAGCCATTATTCTGTCTACCACAGAACCCAAACATCTTTATAGAATACTAGAGGCCCTTTGCACTAAGATTCATGCAAGAATAGTCCTTCCTTCCTCTGGCTGCCAGCACCAGGTTCCCTCTGGCACCTGGAACCTGGACCTTTGCTTTGGCTGCTGCCTTCCACCTGCGCTCTGGCCCTGCCGCCCTCCTGTAGCTCCCTCGACCTCCCATCCCTCCCCCCCATCATAGCAGCCACCCACCCAGCCCACTTGGAGCAGCAAGGGTGGGCGGAATGCCTGCACCATAGCCTTGGTGACAACACAAGTGTCCCTGCATGGCCGCCTCCATCTTTGTCTTGTTGATTTGCATATTCCTTCCTTATTGGCTCTGGGTGCCACCATCTTTGTCAAGGAATGATGGTCAATTTGCATATTGCCCTTTTATTAAATAGGATTATTTCACTGATTTAATACATTAGCCTCCTGTCAGTCACCTGGAACTGACACTATACTTTCCATCCGGAAGACAAAACGGGCTGGGCGCTTAAGGTGCTTATGGTTAAGAGATTATAGGTGTGATTTGACTTAATCCTGAGAAAATATATCACCTCTAGTTCTGTCTTTTCTTCTTAGCTTCAAACTCTTACCTGCAACTACCTGTTGAACATATTTTCTTAGATATTTTGTAAGCACCTTGTTAGCTTTTGCTATGTAACAAACCACCCACAATTATTTGTCATTGCCCACATATCTGTGGGTCAGCTGATGTAAGCTAGGTTTGGATGGGTGTCTCTGATGACCTTGGTTGGGCAAGCTGTGCATCTGAGTAGGCAGCTCAAGTGAAAATTGCCTAATTTAGCCTGGAGCTCTCTGGGGGCAGCTGTGTTTCACATGTCTCATCTTCCCACCTTTGGGTTAGCCCAGGCATGTTCTTGTGAAAATGGCAGAAATACAAACATGTAAGTGGAAACACATGAAGCCTCGTGTAATCTAAGTTTAGAGCAGAGAAATGGTCACTTTTGCTTATTCTATTGTCCAAACTAGTCACATGGCCAACTCCAGGTGCTGGGAAAGCTACTTTTATCTTTTTAAATAGGAGGAATTTAGCAAAGGAACTTGAATGGATAAAGGAGTGTAAACAATAATGTAAACAGAGCCACTTTAAAGAAGAGTTGGAGCTGTCATCCCAGAGGAACTTGCCTTGCAGGTCTACTCCTCAGACCTTTGGAATGTTAAAATAACCTTTAGACTGGCCTAAAGCAATCTTATATCCCAAACAATGTTTGCAAAGATAACAAGAAAGCTGTAACTATTTGAGTTTCTGCCTGGGTCAGTTTTTCCAGAATCACTATTAGTTTGTATCTCAAATAAATGCTTGCTGCCTCTCTCTCACTCTGGTCTTTTATCTTTTGGTTAACAGGGGATAAAGAATTGGGGCCAGTGATATAATTAACCCCACATTCACCTCTGTTTTTTTCTTAATTACAAATGTTATTTTATTTTATTTTTTTTAAATTTCTTTATTGATTAAGGTATCACATATTTGTCCTCAACCCCCCACCCTTCCCCTCTAATACCCCCACTCCATTATTGTCCTTGATCACTGGTTAGGCTCATATGTATGCACACAAGTCCTTTGGTTGATTTCTCCCTTTTATTCCTAACCTCCCTCTGAGGTCCAACAGTCTGACCCATGGCTCCTTGTCTCTTGGTCTGTTCTTATTCATCAGTCTATGTTGTTCATCATTTCCCCTAGATGAGTGAGATCATGTCCTACTGGAAGTATAAGAATAAAAAAATGAGATAATCAATAATGGTTATGCTGAAAGGCAAATTAACCAGTCTGTAGCGAGTTCATCCTCATGTGTCAGGATGGCCGAGTGGTCTAAGGCACCAGACTCAAGCTTAGCTTCCCACACTCACCTCTGTACAACTTTCCCGTTTTGCTTTATTTCTGGTCTTAGTAATGATACTACTCTATGCCTAGTCATCTAAGCCAGAAACCTAAGAAGTATTTAAAATCTCTTTCCCCTTTTCCAATATTCAGTGTCTATCTTGTAAATATCTTTCTAAACTCTCATCTATTACCCTCACTGTTCTGGTTCAGGGTGTCATATCTCTTGGAAGAAAGGGAATAGTCTCTCATGGTCCCTAATCTAGTTTCCTTTGAACCATTCTTTGTATTGCAGCTGGAATACTCTACCTGGAATACATGGCCTCTAGAGGATGCCCTCTGGGATGAGAGTCACCAACTTTTATCTTGTGCTGTTTCCTGTCTTTTGCTTCACTCTTCAGTTCAAGAGTGAATAAAATAAGGCCAGTGGGTCAAAAAATCTAGTCCACAATCTCTGTGCGGCTCATGAACTAAAAATGGTTTTACGTTTTTAAATGACTGGAAAAAAATGAAAAGAACAGTCATTTAAAAATGTAACATTTTTGTGACACATGAAAATTATGAAATCTAAACCAATAAATAAAATTTTATTAGAATACAACTATGTTCATTCATTTTGTATATGGATGCTTTCATGTTATAATGGCAAAGTTGAGTCATTAAAACAAGAGACCATAAAATGCTTGCTATCTCATCATTTTCAGAAAAAGGTTGCCAGCCCTTGCTCTAGTCAAGTAGAACTTTCTGTACTATTCTATTTCATGCCTCAACATGTTTATTATGTTGTTTCTTTGCCTGGCTAACTGTTTTCTTAAATAATAGCTTTATTGAGATACAACTAACATATTATGAAGTTCGTCCATTTAAAGTGTACTTTTCAGTGGTTTGTAGTATATTAATAGAGTTAATTTTAGAACATTTTCATTACCTTTCAAAAAAACCCCATGTTCATTAGCAGTCACTCCCCATTTCCCTGACCCTCTCCCCCAAGCCTTAGAAATCACTAAATCTACTTTCATCTACATAGATTTGCCCATTCTTGATATTTCATGTAAATGGAGTCATACAATATGTGGGGTTTTGTGACTGTCATCTTCACTTACATAATGTTTTTAAGGTTTATACATATTATAGTAGATATCAGTATTTCCTATCCATTGCTGATTAATATACCATTGTATGTATGTAACATGTACCCATTTGTGATATAATGGACATCCATTTTGTTTTTACTTTTTGACGATAATGAGTAATGCTGTTATGAATATTTGTGTACAAGTTTTTGTGTGGTCATGAATTTTCATTTCTCTTAGGTATATACTTGGGCAAATTCTTCATTATTCTTCAAGAATTGACTTTGGGATCTTCTCTTGCAGATCCCTTTGCTAGCTTCCTGAGCTGGATTAAATGTTCATTCCCTGTTGCTCAAATAACACTTGTAGTACTTTACACATGATAGTGACATTATCTGTTTGCATGTTTATTCCTCTGTTCCTCTAAGTTTTTAGAGAGCAGCATCAATGCCTTTTCTACTTTGTATCAACTGCAAACAGTACAAAAATTCACTTAACCTTTATCGGACAAAAGGGAACTTTAGTTCCCGGCAAGGAGTGGTTAAAAGATAACTTTAATACATTTTCTTTATAAATGTTTTTACTTTTCATAAATAACTCAAAAAATAGATAAGATAGAGGCAAAAAAGTAAATGCCTGCAGCACTGAATTTAAATGCCAAAAAAAGCTCCGGCTGGGAGACCCCACTACGGGAATTTAATATTTGTTGAACTAGAAAAACTGTAATGCAGTCTCTGCTTTTAAATTAAAATAAACTTTATATTTTGTTTTGTTTTTTGTCTTATATACATGGGTCTTTTTTTTTCTTTTTTCAGTTTCTTGGAATACATATAGAGATAACTGATCTTGAATTTCTTTTTTTTAAAGGCCTGAAAGGAAAACAAAAAAAGGTACCAAAGAAAAAGCACCAACTGAAAAACAGGAAGACATAGAAAAAATAAAGTCAATCCCCTTTATGGAAGGTGAACCTGAGGATGATGTTTATTTAAAACGCTTATATCCAAGACAGATATATGATGTGGAGAAAGCTATTCATTTACTTAAGAAATTTCAGATTCTGGACTTTACATATCCAAAGCAAGGTGTTTATCTTGATTTGACACTGGACATGTCACAGGGAAAGAAGGTATATAGACCCAAAATAAATTTATTTGTGAACAGTAGTTATATGAATCGACATTTCTTAATGTTTTAATTATTGCCTTTTATAATAATTTTTAGAAAAACTTATGCTCTTTCTATATGTTAGCATGAAAAATACGTATGTTTGTTTTTTTAACTTACAAATATAAAACAGAATGTTAAGCATACTCTCATAGTTGATGAACATATATCGCCTATTCAGCAGAAAATCATAATTGGTATAAAGTTCAACAAAAATAATATTAAAATTAATTGAGGTGTTACTATAACTTTGAAAAATTACTTACACTGCCTGTGTGTCCTGTTCCTTCTCTATAAATGAGATTTTTGGAATAGATCATCGCCCTTCAGAAATTTCTTAGAGTCCTAGATTGAGACCAAGTTTGCATGAGTGGGGTGCTTCAATCAGAACTTCTCTGCTTTATCTGTTTGTATAGTGCAGTTCTGTGGAAGACTTTTGTTTATAAAACTCTAAAAGTAGGAAAAACACTTGATTAGAATTGATGTCCATTATAGCTCTAAATTTTGTACGCTTCTCACTCAAAAAACCTAATTTTCTTGGAAATGATATATAAACTTTTATTCTCAAGGTCTTTTTGGTCAAACTAGAAGGTGTAAGTTTTTGAATACAACTGAACATCCTCAATAATAACAATAATGATTGAGCATGTAAGAGGAGGCAGTCAGCTTACAGTACAGGCCAACATCTTGTTGTTAACTCTTTGAACTTGAGTTACTGGTTTTACCTCTTCAAATCTCACTTTTTTCATCTCTTTAAAAAGGGAGATGAAAAGCTTTGTTCATATGATTATAGCAGATTGAATATGGTCATGCATGTAAGGACTTGGTAGGTGTTTAATAATAACAGTCAACATTTACTGGCAAATTTTTATGTACCAACCACCATACTAATGCTTTGCATGCATTTTCTCATTTAATCCTTTAATAATTTCAGAAGAAGCCAAGACACAAAAAGTAAAGTAACTTGCTCAAGGTAGGGGTATGTACCCCTAGGTATTAAATTAGGGGTATATACCCCTAGGTATATATATATTAGAGAGTAGGGGTAGAGTTAGAATTTGAATTAAAGTCTGTCTCATTTCTTAGAAACAGTTTATACTAGCCTTGTTATTTTATTTTATATCACAGCGTTCTGTTAGTTTGTTTATTTAAAAAATGTGGTGTCCAAGATGATCACTTTCTCAGTCAACTGTTAATATATTTCATAAGGAAGCCACTTGTAAGCTAGACACATTGGAAGGATACTGTTTTCTTCCTAAGAATTTTCTTAATCTTGATAGACTGCTTGTAACAGGCTGGTATTCTGCAGGGAATGCTATTATGATTGCTTGCCATTGAAAAATTTACTGGAACCAGTTGTGACATGTTAATGGCAAAGGAATGCCAGTGAATAAAATTGAGTTTCATTGTCTCATAGAATGCATACTTAAGAGTTGGTGCTTTCTTGTCTGAAAAACCCTCAGAAGGTTATCTCAAAATAAACTAAAAACACAGTCTTTCAGTTTTAATTAGGGAACACCCCTTTTCTCTTTTTTTCAGATCTTAAGACTGCATCAAAACTATGGACTTAGAACTTGTTTCCATGTAAAGTTTCCCTAAGAGATCTGAGCCACAAGCCTAGACAGGCAGGATTTTGACCAAATGACTGAACAAATTAGTTCTGAGGCCCTGTGGAATCTCTGTTCATATTAGGGTGACTCAAGTGCATGCTACTCTTTATTTTAGATGTTCCATTTTTCTTCACACAGATGTCTGAAAGTTGGTAGGTGGATTAGGTTGTTTCCAAATAGACCCACTCAGAAGAGCCTTTCAGTCTTGGCATTCTGTCTTGGATTTAAAAGTTAATATCACCAGATTGTTTAGAGCCAGTGATGGAGATTAGTGTGTCCTACTGAGCAGATCAGCTGGATATTGTCTATTGCTCAGTATGCACAGTTGCTTTTGTGTCCTCTTTGATGGTGTCAAAAGATTATACATTCTTTTAAATTTAATTCAAGGTGGCAAAAATTATTGGCATCCATGTAGAAAGCATTGTACTAGGTGCTGGGGAAGATATGGATATGCAAATACATCTTTCAATATATGAGACACTGATGAATGATGTAGAGATAGAAGCCAAGTACCATGAGAGTATGGAGCTGGGAAGAGGGATTTAGATTTTCATGATGGTTTCTTACAAAAGAAATAAAATTACTTATGCCTTAAATTATAATCAGTGAATAGTTCTGGATTAAGGAGAGGATATGTGGTAGAATTGAAACATTGAAAAACAAAACATGTTAGTTCTGTTTTTTTACAGATGTGAGAGGCACAAAAAGATGAATGAATTTTTCACAATTATTTTTCCATTGTTGTGTGTTTAGAAAAAAGTGGAGCCATTTGCCAGTGTTGTTAGTTTGCCATACCCATTTGCTTCAGAAATCAATAAAGTTGCTGTATTTACAGGGGTGAGTAACCTTTACCAACTTTTCATATCATTTAACTTGTTTAATATAACATTGGTTAGATTAGAATAACTGAATGAGTAGAGTTAGAGAAAATTCTAGCATTCACCAAGTCTTATTTTCTCCATTTGAACCTCAAAGCAGTAAGGTGACTCATTTGAGGTTATGTCATTAAAGTAAGAAAAAGCTAAACTAGAACATTAACTTCATCATTATTTATTCTACCATATTCTGTTACTCACAAAAAAAGTTGAAGGGAAGTACAGAATTTATTCTATTAGCTCCTGCTTCTGACTCAAACTCTTCAAACAATAAAATTATTTTGGCCCCATGCAGTGCTTTGAAGACACAGAAACCACACTTTAAAAAATATCTAGTGTGGAGAGTGAAGGACATCAAGGCTATAACAAATACAGTAACAACAGTTTTTTTGGTCAAACTTTTTGTATTTATAAACATTTGTTTATAATGTGTTTATGATTTTATTTTGTAAGGTATTTTGATTCTTCTCCATCTGTCTCACTTTCAAGGAAGAAATTCTTTACTTTTTCCCCCCTAGAAAAGTGGAGCATATAGCTGTTGGAATGCCACAAAACTTGAGTAAGGGCGTGATACATTTCACAGTAAAACCAAATGGTATAAATGGAGTATAGAGGAAGAAAATAACTAATGCTGTGTATTTTTCTTTGAATTTTCAGACAACAGGCTAAATTTTGGTCCTTTAATTTATTAAAAATATTTTTCTCTTCCTGACCAGTATAGCTCAGTTGGTTGCGCATCATCTCATGCACTGAAGGGTTGCTGCTTAGATTCCTGGTCAGGGCACAAGCCCACGTTGTAGGCTTAATCCCTGGTAGGGGGCGTGCACGAGGCAGACAATCTATGTTTCCCTTTCACATCCATGTTTTTCTCTCCCTCTCCCTCTCTCTAAAAATCAGTTTTAAAAATATTTAAAAATAAAATGTTCTCTCTATTTTGGTTTGATAAATTATCTTCATTTAAGGATCAAAATTAAATATATTTTAATTTTTACTTTTGGAAGATGATATATTTATGGTATTAGAGACTTAGGCTGAACTACTTGGTAGTTCCTCATGCATTTTTATTTTTATTATTATTATTTTAAAAAATATATACTTTATTGATTTTTTTACAGAGAGGGATAGAGAGCCAGAAACATTGATGAGAGAGAATCACTGATCAGCCGCCTCCTGCACACCCCCCACCGGGGATGTGCCCGCAACCAAGGCACATGCCCTTGACCGGAATCGAACCTGGGCCCTTACAGTCTGCAGGCCGACGCTCTACCAGCTGAGCCAAACTGGTTTCAGTTCCTCATGCATTTTCAAGAAATATTTTTATTGATTTCAGAGAGAAAGGGAGAAATAGAAACAGTAATGAAAAAAGAGAATTATTGATTAGTTGCCTCCTCCATGCTCTCTACTGGGGATCAAGCCTGCAATCCGGGTATGTGCCCTTGATTAGAATTGAGCCTGGGACCCTTTAGTCTGCAGGTCAACGCTCTATCCACTAAGCCAAACCGGCTAGGGCCGCATGCATTTTTTAGGTATTTGCTCATGTTACAAGAAATATCTCAATTACCTAAAAACTAAACTTGTTCTGGATGTAATATTTCTGATGCATCGCATTGAAAATTGATGCATTTCCAATTAAAAGTAAAAGCCACAGTTTTTATTTTGAGCCGTAATACTATTTCTGACAAAATACTTGAAAGCAGACTGAATTGATGTTTAAACTATTGTGTTTTGGTAGAATGCATCAGAGATTAAAATAGCAGAAGAACATGGAGCTGCGTTTGCAGGAGGAACTAATCTGGTTAAGAAGGTACAGTGTTATTTTCACGTTCATTAGTTATATGAATTGTTTTGTTATCTTTGCCATCTATTTATTTATTACATGTTTTAGAACTAGTATTGGGAAGTCTTGGAGTAGAAATTTCATATACCGTTCTTTGACATTTCAAAATTATTAATACCTCTGCTTAAAATTCTAGCGATAAGAGCCCTGGTTCTGGATCCACACTGCCTTTGTTTGAGTTCTGGGTCTGTCCCTTATAAGTACACAGACTGACTCATCCTCCCTAAGTCTTCAATTTCTGCATCAAGAATGTGTGGTCAATATTAGTACTTGCCTTATAGGATTATTGTTAAGACTGGATTTATTAAACCATGTTAAATATTGAGCCGAATGCTTGGCATGTGATAAGTGTTTTCTTAATGTAAGTTATTGTTAAGAGGAATACAGAATGTTATTTAGGGAATAAAGAATTTATAAAAATAAAGAATAGTAACAAGAAAATGAAATTTCAGAGTCACAGCTTAATTTTGCCAGGGTTCAAGTCTTTAGGGTTCACTATAATCCCAAACCACAGCTTTAAATGATATATTGTGGTATGATTGAAGCAAAAGGAGTCATTGGTAAAATATTTGTTTTAGGAAATACTATTCTAAAAAGTTGCTTCATTTTATAATCATCTAAATGGAAGAATTAAACCCATTAAATACATATATTTTAAATGGATGTGACTATTTTTAAGAGAAAAGTTCAGAAAATGTTTTGCTTCTAATACCGGTAGTTTTCATAATTTGGTAAATGTGTTCATATGATCCTTGTTTAAAGGAAAAACATTGTGTTTAATGTGTGTTTTCTAAATTATAAGGGGAATTACTACATTATACTAAATTTTCAGAATGAAAGTTATCTTTTATCTTGATTTTTAGATTTTGGATGATGAAATTGAACCAGACTTTTATATAGCTGTTCCAGAAATTATGTCTGAGCTTAATCCATTAAAGAAGAAATTGAAAAAAAGATTTCCAAAGCTTAATCGAAGTAAGGGAGAATTCTTTTTCATTATTTTAATATGCTATGAACAACTTTATAATTTATATATTTTGTTAGAAAACAAGATTGCTAATATATATGCAGAATAAGTAATATGTCCTGCTATTTGAGTTTTATGTAAAAACATGTAGATTTTTTTTCCTTTTGACATTGATATTGGTAATCTATTGTAATTTGCAAACCTAATTACTATATAATACTTTAAATTTAGGCCATATTTTAACTTGAAATTAAGTGAAAGTATTATCCACTAGACATGTTGTTATTATATTGTGTGTGTGTGTGTTTTTTTTATCATTGTTTTTGACTTCTTTATCAATATAATAGGTATGCTAATTTATGTCAGCATTCAACTTATATGAATGCTTACAGTGTGCATGGCTCTGCAGATTTTTTCCTTAAAATGTTAAGCACCATATCAGTCACCAGCGACTGACACTATACTTTCCATTTGGATCTCGTCAGTCTGGCCACCAGCATATCGGTGAAATTGGATATTGTAGACTAAATGGAAAGGAAGACAAAACAGGCTTTGCACTTAATGTGTTAAGGAACTTTTCCCTTATGGATTTTTATCTCCTATGAAATACAGTAATCAAAGTAACATCCTATATAATAAAAGCCTAATATACAAATTGTTCAACTGGTAGTTCACCACTTGCTATGACGTGCACTGACCACCAGGGGGTGTCATGGAATATGACAGGCATCAGCAACGTGGTGCTGGCAGCGGGCTGCAGTGGAGGTGCTGCCAGCCCTGATGGGCCCTGATGAGAGGGGCACTGTGACGGGATGGCAGAGCAGGTGATTGGGAGGCGCCAGGCCAAAGTGGGTGCGAGCAGGGCTCGATTGCCCTGCCAATTGCCTCACAGACAGAGACCATCAGCAGTGGCAGTGCGGGGTGGGGCCACCGCCTGGCTCCAGGTGCTGAGGGAGCCAGGTGGGGACCCGATGACTCAGGTGGAGGGGAGCACATGGTGGCCCAGGGGCCCAGGTGCTGCCCAGGGCCCAGAGGTCAGCTGGGACTTGCCCTTCCACACCAGATGCTCGTGCTTCGATTGCCAGCCAGGCCTAGGGGTGAATTTCTTGCACCGGGCCTCTAGTTGCTACATAAATAGCTGTTTTAAAGTCTAACATAAATGATAAACTCACAAGGTGCTGAAGATTTTCAGTAGAAGAATTTACATATAGGTGAGGAAGTTAGCGTTTAAAGTGATCTTGAATAATTGGATGAGTAGATTAAGGGAAATACTTTTTAAGTATGAAACGGAACTATAGTTCTGCTGCCTGCTGCAATGAAAGCCAAACTTGTGAGACAGGTGCTGGCAAGAAGGAAAGTGGTTTATTCAAGTGCCGGCAACTTGTGATGGGGGACTCCTCTCCCAAAGCCCATCTTATTAGTTTTTGTCAAACCAAATAATTACATAAGATAAAAGGGAAATGGGAATTGAGTTGAGAGGAGTAGCAGGAATTTTTCTGTGGACCAGGTGTGCAGTTTGACTCAATTAGTCATCCTGTTCCTGATACTAATTTTGCTCTCTTGTGGTTGGCTGGTGTGTTGCACACCTGGTGGTGACAAGAAACAGGAACAGCGTGCTCTGCTAAGATACTTAGGCAAAAATATTTATTTTTAAAGCATATAAATCTCTTAGTTAGCTTTTGCTAGAATTTCGATGTTAGTTTGGCAGTAACGAGAAGAAAATCTATTAATCATAGACATTGAAGTAAGTCCATGTATAAGAAATATCAGTTAGTTCTCTTTAGCTGTATTGAAAAATATCCTTACATTGATATGAAAGAGAATGGGAAATTGTGTTGGAAAGGTAAATTGATGTCATATTGAGAAGGATCTGGAATAAGATCCTAGTAAGCTTGGACTTTAATTTTTTCTGTATTCAGCAGAATCCCTTAGTTTTTAAGGTGGGGAATTCTTTACAGGTTTATTCTAGCAAGAGTTCATAAGATGTATTGGCATCAATCAAAACTAGAAGCAGGGAGACCAGCTTTGACACAATCACCAGAGACTAATAAAGTTAATGTGTTAACTAAAGTCTTCATAATGAGGACAAATGTCAAATATATTAGGACTACACTAAGTAATTAAAAATGGACAGGAAAGACAGAAAAGAAAGAGTCAAATGGTGCTGGTATTTTTTTTTTTTTTTTTTTTTTTTTTTTTTTTACTGTATATCTGCTATAGATAGGTATTATTTCAAATAAAATTTCATTTTAATACTGTTTTAGTAGCTTGGTCTTCACATTTTAGCTATACTTGAGCTGAAAATTCCTACCAAAAATCTTCAGACTTGGTAGCCACTAAACCATGGATCATATATTATGTTTTATACTTCAAACAATTTTATATGTACTCTCCAATTCTTTTGTTGTACTAGAGTTTTATTTGTTTATTTTGATAGCCTGCTTTGAATAACACAATCTTATTAGATATTGAACTGAAGTTGGACACTTTTTATTAGGGATTTCCAGTACAATAATGTTTGTCGTCATGGAATCAGGTGTAATTTTTCAAAGTAAGACCTGAAATTGAACATTATTTTAAAAATTAAATGTGATTCCAGTTCAATTTGATGAAAATATTTCTCACACTTTTTCTAATTAAATTAAAGTCAACAAAACCAAACATACTAAATATAGTCAATTAAAACTGAAACTAAATGCTAAATATATCTGAATTTATCTATTTCCTTTCTTTGCATGGTGAACTGGCTTTACACAGAAGTTAATTTTGTCACCTTTGCTACTTTATCTATTTTCTGAACAACCCTTTAGGCCTTTATGGTTTTTAGCCTAAGGGTTGTATTTTTTTTTTTTAATTAGATGTTCATCACAAAATTAGGCACTTTGTTTTTAGTCTGAAAGGTTTTCAAATAACTTCATTTCAAATAAGAAAAGTTTCCCTTCAAATTGCTAATTTTTGTTAATGGGCTTTATTTTTACTTTCATAATGAGTCATAGTTTCTGTATACAAGGTTAAGTTACCTAGGTGTACTCCCCCTTCTCCCCTTCCACCTTTGTTTAACAAAACATCTTGAAAAAACAGAGAGACCTTTCTCCTTCACTAGCTTTTTCTATTCACCACCACATGATCTGTGTAACAGCACTGGCAAAACATTCGTGTTCTTTAAACATGAAGACAAATGATTAACCTGTCAAAAATGTTAAAACAAAATACACCAGATGTGCATTAGAACAAATGAAGCTTGTATTATGCATTTTCAGAGCTTGTTCTGATTCTTGTTTAGGAACATTTGATTCTCCTTATAGCCAACAAAAGACTTTAGGGTAAAATAGAAATTACATTTTGAGCAAATGGATGAAATTAAAAAACAAACAAGCCCCTACAGCTAAGCTCATTAGTTTCCCATTTTGTCCTACATTTTGTTTTAGTAATGGGAGTGGGTGTAACCATCTTGGCTGGATTAAATGTTCACATTTTGCAGCATGTTTAGTGCTGCAGCTTTATTTGTTTTATTTATTATCTTAATTGCTCACATAACTGTAGGCAAGTTCTCTGTTTTTAAATGCACATTTGGCTTGTTTTTTAGTATTTCCTTTTTATTTCAGAAAAAAAGACATTTAAAACTTTTTAAAATTTCTTGGAAGAAAGTGGGTTTCCTTATGCTTGTAAACTAGCTTCCCCCTAATCCCATAACATCATTGCCCTCTGAAATTCTTTTATCTCTAATATCGATATGTTTTGTTGATATTTTTGACATTTTTATTCCTAATTTTATATATTATTTAGAATTTACTTAAACAAAAAATACTAGTATGAAAAATAGCTTGATTTAATTGAGTCAGTCTTCTATTACACAGATACCATGGTAGGTGGTATCTGTATATATAAAAGCATAATATGCAAATAGACTGGTCAACTATGATGCACACTGACCACGAGAGGGCAGGCGCTCAACACAGGAACTGCCCCCAGCCCGCAGGCCCCAATCGCCTAATGGGGAACAGGGGAACCAGGGGTGGGTGGCAGTGGATGCGGGCGGCACCAGGGCCCCATCACCCTACTGGCTGCCCCACACATAGAAGGTAACCAGCAGTGGCGGGTGGGGAGCAAGTGGGAACAGTCATCCTCTTGGTTGCTCCCCTTTGGCCGGCAGGCTCTGATCGCCCGATGGGGAACCAAGAACTGGGGGTAGGTTGCAGCTGATGTGAGTGGCCCTGGGGCACGATCACCCCACTGGTTGCCTCACACACTGAGGGCGACCAGTGGCAGAAGGTGGGGCCAGCTGCTGGCAGCCAGGGAAGATGGCCCTGATTGCTGGCCAGGCCTGGGGACCCTACCTATGCATGAATTTCGTGCACCAGGCCTCTAGTAGTATATGAAAATAGTTGAATTCTTTTAAATCATACTCAGCTATTGATAGGTGGGAATAGGAACATGATTAAAAAATTGGACCCTCTAATGTGTATTTCTCTTAATACATAGCTCTTAGAATTGAATGTTAGTACTCTATTTATAGTCTTATCAAAAGGATATTCCAGCAGATTTGTCCAAAGAGTATTCACTTCTACCTTGTGTAAGGAAGTGGCATTGCATCGTATTTGAGAGTAATGGATATAAAATTGTTGAAATCTAATGTGAAATATTTTTAACACATAGACTAAACATGGTATTGCTTGCATTATTTAAACAGTTAGAACTCTTTTTGGTTCTATTAAGAAATACTGAAAGAGGACCTTTTGCAGAGTAATCAATTTGAAATGTTTTTGTTTTCCCCCACTTGTGCATTAGTTTAAAAAGTATTTATGTGTGAAAGATTTCAATGATGATTAAGTATGGCTATAATTATTATAGATGAATTATTGATGTATTACAGCTGTTTCTGTTATTCTTTCTTTCATTTCCTGTACTACAACTGCCTTTCTTCATACACACTAAATGTTCTCTCTTCTTAGGTCTTTGGACTTATTGTCTCATCTTTGTATAATGCTCTTTGCTTATTTTCCTGGCT